GAAAAGAGTAGGGGTGTTACCCCAGTGTCCTGGCCAAATTTCCCCCCTGGCCTTTACCCCTCATGGCCTCCTAATAACCCCCCTCTCTGAACTGGCTCCATCCCTCTGCTCTCCTCCCCACTGAGAGCTGGTGTGTGTGAGAGGACTGGAGCATCATCCAGGTGGGGCTGCACACTGGTGGTGGTAGTGGGATTCCCCCTGACCTGGGAAGAGCTCTGAGTGGAGGGTCCGGAAAAGCGGTATGTAAGTGTAAGGAATTATTATTAAGGAGTGATCCAAGGTTAAGGATACCTATTGCAAGTGATGATTTTGTGGAGTACGAGTCCTGGGATCAGGTCAGTGTAGTCATGGCCAGGAGAGGTGAACTAAGGGGCTCCTGGCCTGGAGAGATCTTTGATCTTTGCTGCTCCATGATACATATTTTTTCAACTCCGAGTTTGGAGATCTTAAGTTCCTTACAGGATTAAGAGCTGGGAAGGAAGCGTTCAAATGAAACCCATCTGGTCAACGAAGGGGTCAGATTTTTAATTGGGCAGTCACAGGAAACGCCAACCAGCAGGAAGTGTGGCTGGTCAGAGGTTTCCCAGGAGGCTCTGTGAAACTTGTTTTCCTGTCTTTAAAGCGATTCTCTTGAATTGCAAGACCGAGGATATTTTGATCATCAGGAGCTCATTGATTTAATGTGTAATTAAAACTTGCTTGACATGGTCAGACTAACACTTGAGCGAATCTGTGTCGTGTATCTATTTGTCTTAGATCTTATTTTTTCATTAACATGCAGCAAGGCAGCGCTAAATAACCAGGTATGGTAAAACTGTTTTTTTTTTTCTTGATGAGCATGACTTCCTGATAGTCTGCAGCAATCACGTCCAACACATTTATTTTTATTTATTGTTTAACCAGCAATGCATGGGACATCTGGCTCACTGTTTATGAGATGAATGAGTTTTGCAGTTAATTTTAATTGTTGTTCTACCCCAAGAAGAGAAGAGAGAGAATTTTTTTCTGCCTTTTACGTGCGTTTGGTTCTACTTGTAAAGTTTTATGGACACGATTCTTTGAGAATTTGAACTGTTTCAGACACAAGATCCCTGATTTAATCAAGCACTTTTATCAATTTTAGGTGCACGGTACTTTACTTTAGTTCCTTTCTTAACTGTACTTAATTTTGTTTTACTTTAGCAGTGTTAAAAATTAAAAGAAAACTGTCTTCACAAAAAGGTGTCAATTTGGTTGTTGGAAAAAAATGGAATGTGTTTAGTGTGAGTTTTTTTAACATACTGATGCAGTTTGCCATTGGTTGAGAGTTGAAAATGTGCTTCTTTGAGAAAATTGCCCTGCAGTGAATGTCAGATTCTCGTTGACGCACACTCACACCTGGGCCAGTTTTCTTAGAACCCTGTTCACCCACCAGTGTGTCTTTGAACAGTGGGAGGAGACTGGAGTACCTGGGGGAAAAAAACCCAGGTGAACACTGGGAGAACATGCAAACTCCACACAGACAGCATCCCGGCTCTGGATTTGAACCCGGGTCCCCAGTGCTGCGAGGCAGCAGTACTGATCACTGTCTCACCACCTAGCACCATGTTATTCCATTTTACATTAAATCATGCAGAAAAAACATGCAATAAATGGCACACTCACTATATACTGTACTAGACGATATTCTATAATATTAACTCGCCAGAACAGGTTCGCCTACTCTTTCTCTTGATGGTCCTAATCTAAATAGCAAATGGTAAGTCATTGATAAGGAGGAGTCATATAGGAGGTAAAATGACCTGTTGTATTTGCATTTCTGATCTCCTATCAGAATCACCGGCCAGCTCATAGAAGTAGTCTGGATTTAGACTTCAGTTT